TTTCCTGCATCTCTTTCATTCATTCTTTGTTCATGAGATTTAAGCGTCCCTTGAATCTCTTCCTTTATCAATTTCGACAAGTCTTTCCCCTCTTCTATCGCCACCACTATATGGTCGAACTTAGGAGCTAAAGATCTCAAGATCTTTGAAACAACAACTCTTGTTGTTAACGTTTCTCCATATATCTTGATTTGATTTACTAGTTTTGTAACTCTAGTGAAGAAATCAGATATGCTTTCACTGTCTTCCATCTGAAGAAGTTCATACGTCCTTTTGTGAGTTTGTAATCTCATTTCTTTCACCTTTTCAGTTCCTCCAAAAGACTTCTCAAGGATTTCCCAAGCTTCTTTTGCAGATTCTTAATCACTAACCTTTTCAAAATTGTCTGGGCTGACACAATGATGAATTATAAATAATGCTTTATAACTCAGCTTCTCAGATTCTGTGTATTTCTTCTTTTCTTCTTCTGAAGCGTTTTCTCCAAGCGCTTCGACTCCATATTTTACAAGGTCCCAAAGACCTTGACACCTGAATAAGACTTTCATCTTTTTGCACCAATTCTCATAGTTGTCAACTTTCAGAATTGGTAGCGTTGCTGGATAGTTTGCATTCCCATGACTTGTCATCGTAAATTCTTCAATCGTTCTTGATTGATACTTCCCTTGAATCGAAACAAAGGCTCTTGATACCAGATGTTAGAAATCCACGAAAGTCTATGATGAATTTCTACCACAATGACAATTTAATTATGAGACAAACAAAGAAAAGAAGACAAGACAAATAATTTATGCATAGTTTCTCTATGCTCACAAACTGTGAAAACTTTGTTATTCACTTTGCAACTGCAAAATACTGTGAATGACTTGCTTGACTTGCTTACAAAAATAGGGGTTACTCCCTCTATTTATAACTGAGGTTACACCCTAAGCCCAAAGCCTAAAATATCTTTTTGTTACTAAATCAAATATAATTCATTCTAGACTTAAATCAAATCTATTTAAATCTAAACAAATCAAATCTTTTCGACACATAGTTTCGACACACTGAATTACAATTTAACAGAATATTTTTACTCTGGGAGTCTTTGGGCCAACATGATGCTAACTTGCATAAAACCCACCCTATATCATCGTATTCTCCAAGTTTAACATTCTCATTACAATTTTTCATACTACACAAACAGAAGAACTTTCTTTCCACTAAGCTCTCATGACACAAAAACATACATTTCTTTCATAGCAGCCAAAAAAATATGCATGCCTAACCAAGATTACATAAATTACTTTATGCCACAATACATCGTAATGGATATAAACCACATTGAAAAAACTTCATTTTACATCAACCATATACTCCAAATAATATTTTAATGGATCAATCAGTATAGATGCATCTCCCACTAGACCCTTGAAAAAAGTTTCATTTCACATCAACCATATACTCCAAATAGTAATTGACCGAAAAAAGCTTTTCAATTTCTTCACGCCTCTCAGAAGTCCAAAAAATATTCGGTTATTGTGAGACCTTTTGGTAAGGAGACGTTCAACTAATCATATACTTTTTACCATATCACTTCTACAAACACACAATAAAACCAATATATTGAAGACTTTCCCTCCTTTGTAAATATAATGCACAAACCATATTATGGGACTCCTGCACAACCCCTCTTTTTTTCTAGTTCATCTCAAGTTGGTAAACGTCCCAACATGAAACACCAACCAAAAATAGTAATACTCTTTAATACCTTAAAGAGTATGGTTGAAATTGTTGGTATATCAAGTGTGAGTATGAGTCTCACATCTGAATGTTGAACACTTTATAAGTAAGAAGATCCATATACCCAATGCCTTAAGGTTTTAGGTTAGTATATGGTGTATCTCCCACTTATGTTACTACTCCTAAGTCCAATATGATGATTCCCAATCCCTTTTATGACCCAACTGTGCTATTAGAGCCTAGTTCAACTAGGGCTCCTTGTATCAAAAGTCTTCCTAGCAAAGATGTTTAGGCGGCGTGTTCCGTTGATTTTTTGATAGTCTCCTAGCAAAGGTGTTTAGGCGGCGTGTTCGATTGAGGCCATCCAACGTCATTCCAACTAGATATGAATGAAAAAAACTTTCATATGAGAGGAAGACATCGTATGAAAAAGTGAATGTATAACACTTTATAAGTGAAAAATCCCATAAATCCAATAAAATTTTAAGTTAATATGTGATATCGCTCTCTCACATATGTGATTACTCTTAAATTCAATATGATGATCCTCATCACCCAACAAAAAAAATACCACTCAGAATAGTTGTAAAATATCTATTTTTCATTACACCAATTATTTTTATTAAAAAATATATACTTCATTTGTCCCTTATCATATATGCCTAAATTATCACTTCTAACAATTTGTACATGCTATAGTACAAAAACAAATTTACTTTATTTTTTACACTTGTCATTTATGTAAACACATTTATATTCCCTGGTTTCTAAATTTCTAAATTCTTCGTTTTCTTAGGGTTATAATTTTCTCTTTATGTACCATTTTTTATTTATTTTTTTTACTATCAATAATTTAGTAATTTATTATTTTACTTAAATTCTAATAATCTATGGTAAATTTGTATATATCAATTTTTTCTAATTCAAATTAAAACATACAAATTTATGTTCTCTTTTGTAAAGTTCATAAATTTATACAATTATTTAATGCAATAACTTTTCCCTTTTCTCAACTTTTTTCCAATTACATTTATTCAAATTAAAAATATATAAACTCATGTTCTCTTTTATAAAGTTTTATATAACTTTTATCTCATTTTCAAGATTTTCCCATAAATTTAATGACGTGTCTATTATATTTTTATTCTAACATTATAATCAAACCAACCATTAAATGTACGTGTCTATTATATTTATTTTTTCAACAAAACTATTTATTTAATAAAAATATGTATGATCCATTAGGTTTTAAGTGTGAAAGTTGTACTAAACTCTCGTATTAATTAAGAATAAAATAATATTAGGTTTATAAGAGAGGTGACACATATCTCTATTGTCTTAAAATTTTAGATGAATATATGACATCAATGTCTCTTATAACCATGAATATTTGACTTATTAGCATTTTCAAACCTTACTCTAGACTTCTCCAACAATTGACATTAGAACCTTGGATGTTGTCTCGGTAGAAAAACATATCCAAAAGAAGTGATTCATATCTCATTATCTAATTATTATTTTTAATTATTTTATTGGAGAGAAACAAAGGTATAAGCCATTTTATAATCTTAAATAAATTTATTAAAATTACATATATAATGTAATAACAATATTTTTTATTTAATAGAAATTAATTTCAAACATTCACATACAAATATATATATTAAAAATATATTTCACCTATATCATTGTGAAACATTAAAAAATATACTTCACCTTTGTTTTAGTAAAAAGGGAAAAATAAACCATATATCACAAGAAAATAATTAGTTTAAATATATATGTGTATTGTCATATCATCTTCTATTAGTTGTCATATCAGTTAGTCTCATTTAACGTTAAGAGTCAATAATATGGATGAATTTTTTTGTAAAGAAAACATTTAGAGGGATTAGTTGAAAACCGCTATATATAAATGGACAAAAAACATATTTAATCCTTATTTTTTTAACTATTGATTTATTGACCGAAGTTCATTTTTTTTTAAAGTGAGTAAATGAGACGTCACAAATTCAAATTTATGTCTTTGTTGTTGGATGTTCCCACATAGCTATTAACTAAGTTGAATTAGCGAGATGCTACTTGTTTTTATAGGTGTTTATGTTGTAAAATTAAAATGTTCAATCACATCAAAAAATTTGATGTGTGAGACAAATAAAATGACAAATAAAATAAATGATTTTGGGCAAAAATATCTATATGATTAAGACAACAATTTAACTTGATAGATAATAATAAAATAACTCTCTAATTAGATAAATTCATAGAGTTGATACAAAAGATTACAAATGAGTTACATATTTATAATTGTCAAAATCAAAAGAATATTTAATGGAACCAAAAGATAACTAATTAGCAAACTAATCCACAAACCAAAACAATCATGCCCGATACTAGAAAATTTCTTGAACCATACCCCATACTCCAACGGGTCAGAATCACCCCCGCCGAAACCGAATCAAACCAGAGTCCATACCAAATTATGATGTTTGGGTTGGACATTTTATTAATTCGTGCAAAAATCGAACTAAATCAATGAAAGTCGATGTTAATTAGTTAGGCAACATATTTTCAAAATTCTATATGCTTACTCATCTATTATAACCAACCATAATTAATTCTCATAATTCATATCATCATTATCATATAAACCATTACAGAGATATTCAACTCCAATAAAAAAATAAAACATCGTCTGTATATCGTTCACAATTTATTTATATAAACAAAAAATTTTGGTTTTATATTATTTTGGAATATTATTTTGGATAAATTAGTTATTTATAAAAATATTTTTTTTACATTTTTTAATGTGTTCGATTAATCCAACTTAAATCAACCTATTGTTTTTTGATTTTTTCGGTTTGGGTTTATCGCTAATCTGTATAAATTCAATCCAAACCAATCCATTTATTTATTTATTTATTTAGACCTAGGAATCTCTCGAAACTTAACTAAACTGATCCACAAAACACCCTTATCAACCATTGCCACTAGCTGACAACCAAACCCTCCGCCAGCCTTCGTCGACCTCTAAACTAATTTTAATTTTTATAATTTTAAAATATGTTTACTTTCTCTTCACCACTTATGATTTTAGATCTATTTTAACCATTTTTTTAATATACTCAACAACCATTTTCATATTAATACTTTCATAATACAAAGAAGACCAATATTACCGATAGATTATTTCATTTTATTTTCTTCCTATCAATTGCTAGCAAACATAAATATTTATTAAAAACAAGTAACATTGATATACTACTAGATCAACTTGATCATTTAGATTTGGGAAAACGTTTCTTCTTGGGTGCTTCATTGAGTTGATTTCCCTTTCGCAACCCTACCGACGAGCCCGCATCAACATCAGATTGAACTATCAGACATTTAAACTTCTTTGGTCGGCCTCGTTTCTTTGGCTTAAGAGATGAATCAGCTGTTGCTGTATCAACAGGATCCATAATTTGGTTGTGAGATTCATCCACAACCATTATGCATGAGTCAAGGTTGTCACCACCAACACTAGTGTTTTGAGGCTCACTTGGTATGAGAACATTCAAAGGTAATTGTGGCTTAAGAGGATTGAAAAAATAGGTTGACAAATCCTCACACATAGGTGCCCTAGCACTTTCAAACATGGCATCCCATTCAGTAGTGTAACAAGCAGAAAGTTCTTCTGTTACATAGATGTATTCATAATCATCAACATTATCAACCAATGGTTTGGTTGTATGAGAAGTTTCAGAAGAAGCTGGTGTTGGTGTTGGTGTTTGAGGTTCCATGTTTTCAAATGAACCATTGTTGTTGTTCAACATTTTTCAACTTAACTATTTTTGTTTTTCTAAGTGAATTAAAATGAGCGTGCTTGTGTTTGTGACATTGCAGTAGTCTTCCAATTTATAGTGTCCGTTTATAATTATATTTTTTATTATTCATTGAATTTTAATATGTTCACCTAAGACAAATTTTCTCTTTTAGAGAAATATATTATTTTAAAATTATATGTCATTTTAAAACATTAATAAAATATTCAAAGTTTATTTTCTTTTTGTCATTTATTATAAATTATTTAATATTTTTATTTCTTTAAATACTTACATTAATAATGGTCATTTAATACATTAATTCATAACTTATTTTATATAATATAAATTTAAAAAATGTCATATATATAAAACAAAAACTAAATAAATCTAATTACGAAAAAGATATAGAAACTCAAAATTATCCAAAACAAAAATACTTCGGCCCCTATAACAAAACAGGATACTGGTAAAAGAAAACCTGAAAACACATCAGTCAAACCACCAAAACTGATATCCACTTTTGTTATTTTTCTTCTTTTAATATAAAATTAATTCTAGATGTATCTTTTTTTATATTTTTTATTGACTGATTACTTAGTTGATAATTTGATATAGATAGTAATTAACACAAATTATAGGAAATTAATATATTTAAAAGAAAATAATAATAATAATAATAATAATAATAATAATAATAATAATAATAATAATAATAATAATAATAATTCACTAGTTAAAAAGTACAGGTGTGTATTGCTCCTGCAAGGGCGGAAGACTCTGAGGTCTTAGCAGGTATATTATGTTGTATGGTAGTTAGGATTTTCTCACGGAGACGATAAGCCATGTATGGTGGTGGTTTAAAAGTCATGCTCACGTGAGGTGAGAGACTTTGTTAATGCCAAGTGTTTTTAGGTATAAGTGTATATGGGGTTTGATATGTATGAGTTAAGATTAGGCATGTCGATGGGGCAGGTCGGGGACGATTTTTACCTCCCCCAATCCCTAAACAATCTTTGTTTTCCGCACTGATCCTCAACAGGCATCTGAGTGGGACAACTGCTTCCTCCTGATCAGGAGAAATTATTGACTATCTAATATTTAATGAGTAGTCTTGGGCTTCCTCTCCCTTGACTAACATCTCTACACATGTCATCAGTGTCAAGGGCGAGCCTTTAGGTCATCGCCTAGGCGGTACCGCTCTTGGGCGAAGATGCCCTAGTTTAGGACACTTACAAATATAATATTACATAGTCCCTCAAGTTCGAGGGAGATTGTGATACGGTGGGAGAACTGACTTGAGGTTTTGCGTTTGTTTTTGCAAATGTTTCGGTTGAGCAAAAGTCGCCACCGACTTTTTATTTTATCCTAAGGAAAGGTTAAAAAGCACAGCAAAAACCTTTGAGAGGTTTTCTTGGGTTCGGGGGTTAGATTATAGAAAGGGAAGGTATTAGCACCCTTTCTATCCATGGTTATCCATGGGCTCTTAGTTACTTGTTTAGATCACTTGCCTTGTGTTTTCAATTGTTTAAAATGGTGATTTGTGTGTGGGTTTGAAAATGTTTTGAAAAGAGGCCAATGTGGTGGCAACCTTTGTAATGATCCATGTTGGGATGTATACAAAGGTGTACTTATCTTTTGAAAAGTTTTCAATGTTTTTGAAAGTTGTTTTTGAAAATGTGTTGTGATATGTGGTTTTGAAAAATAGGCAAGTGTTTTTGTTTTGCAAGTTGGCAAGTAACCAAGAGCTATCTACCCTAAATTTCTCAAAGATCATTCCTATGTTTTAACCCTTTTAACAATTTTGTTCCACCATTGTATTTGGTGGACAATCTTGTGTTAGGATGTGAACGGGACTGACACGGGTCATCGTTTAGACCATGATTGCAATGGTGCCAAGTGTCTTTGGGCAATTTTTCTTTAAGGGACTTGATCATTTTTTAGGCAACTTTTGAAAGCATCATCGAGGGACTATGATTATTTGAATTGTTTTGTTTTGCCAAAGACACCTAACATGCAACATGGCCCATTATTGAAGGCAACAAGTGGAGTAACCCTAGGGGTGCAAGTGTGATTGGTGTTGTCCATTTTCATGCTTTGTTATCTTTGAATTAGGTCAAGCTATTTGTTTGGTTGATTTTTGCATACAAACCCTAAGTCTATCATGGCATATTTAGAAAGCTTTTAAATGCGAAAAATAAAATCCTAAATTATTACAACACAATTATGGGATGGGGGTACAAATGTTCAAATGGGGATATTTAGCAAGAAAAATTAAATCTAAACTATTACATCCAAATTGAATATACAAATTAATTTAATTGTACAATAATTAAATAAAATAAAATAAATATGCAAGATGCAAAAAATGATTTTTATATGTATGTAAAAGTATTTTTTATGTGTCAAATAAACAAAAAAAAACAAAAAAAGTTAATTTTTGATATTTTGTGTTTTTAGGGGAAAACCCTAATTTTTATAAATAAAAGGTATTTATTATATATTATATACAATGTTTATTAATTATATACAAAAATAAATAAAAAGGAAGTATATTGTAAAAAAGTGATTTTTGAGGTCAAATATTAATAAAAATAAAAATGTGTTATTTTTATGTTTTTTATCCTAAATATTCTAATAAATATATAAGTATTTATATTATTTACTAAATATATTAAATATATACAAAAATAAAATATTTAATATTTACAAAAAAAGTATATTTTTTATAAAATGTTTTCAAAAGATAAAATAAAATAAAATCAGAAAATAAAATGCATTTTGTATTATTTTTAGTATTTTAACAAAAAGGTATATATGTTATTTATATGTATAAACTCAAATAAAACAAATAAAATGCAAAAATGGTTGAAAAAATATTTTTAATATTTTTTTATATTTTGGCAAAAAATAATAAGTCAGAAACAAAAACAAAAAGTCAAAAAATGATAAAAATAAACACAATGGGCCAAGGGGGTGCAAGTGTGGAAAAGTGGTGCAAATAGAAAGAACAACACAGGCCCAGCCCAAAGACTTTGTCTTCAACCTCTGGCCAGGTTCAAACACAAAACGCGCGCCTTCTTGTTCATCTCCCTAACTCCTGATTCTTTGATCCTTTGACAAATCTTAAAACATGAAACTTGTAGAGCTTGAAGCCACGATTTTAAATATATAAAAAAGTTAATCTAACTCTCAGAAATGAGAGAGAATTTCTTCTCCCCCAATTCCTGACCTAGTTTTTTTCAGATGTTCAGATTCAAAATACTCTTAGCACACACAATATAAATGAAAAGTAACTATATGGATGGCTTCAGGGCTATGATTAGAACATGTTTTCTTCACAAACTTAAGCCTAACTATGCCTAGATAGAGAGATAGAAGTTCAAAAACTTACCTGTTCAGCTTGATTCGTGTATGACAATGGAGGTACTTTCAGTGCAATGTGAGGACTTGTACAGCTTGCTTGAAGTTCAGGGATGCTTCTCCAATGCTTGGTGTGCTTTGAATCTTGCTATATCAAGCTACAGAAGTCAACCTGCAAGAGAGAAAAGTGAAAATGGCAAATGATGTTAGGGATGTTACAGTTCGTGTCCAATGCTTGGGGTAGTTTGTATAGGTGGTAGGGAGTGTGTATGAAGTGGTTTGGATGAAAATGCACGATGGAAATGAGCTGGCCAAGTCAAAGTGCAGAATGCCTTGTTTTGTGCAGCAAGATGGTGTTTATGTGTTTAAGGAGGTATTGGAGGTGGTTGGCTCGTTTTTTAGCTCAGTTATGATGTATGGAATGTGTTCAATAAGTTTGCTTAGGCTTGTGTTGACAGGAACTCAATGTTGTGTTTCAAAATGCAAGTTTCTTCTATTGTAAGCAAAAGTTTTTCAAGTTGGTTTACAAGCTTATGCAGGCCCCCTAAACATGCTGCAAAGTTAGTCTTGATCAGTGGGATTATTTCCATAACTTGTGCCTCAGAGATTTGCATTGTACCTCTTGGATTGCAAACTTGACATAAAGTGTAACTTTACAAAAATGGATAACTTGCTTTTTCTATTTATGGCTTAATTCTTCATGTAATGTCCAAATGCACAAAATAACATCTTAGCACAATGGATTGGCATTTAATTATTGAGTGAAAATGAGATTAGAGGCCTGTAACTAGCTTGTGCGAGCTGATTTCAAAAATGCCTAAGTGTATGAACATGAAAATGGCTCATGAACAAAGTGACTTTTGCCCATATTGCCAAATTCGATTCTCCCTAACCACAAGGGTGTTTGAGAAGTTCTTGGACAATTTGGAAAGCTTGGAATGTGTACTACAATCCATCTTTGTAATGAAAGTTGAGATTCCAAGTGGAGGCATGTGAAAATGGCCATGAAGTTAGGCAAAAATCCTGCCTAAAATAGGTCAAAATTTTTCTAAGTTAAGAATGTTTTGCACCCTTGTTCCAAAAATCATAACTTGAGCTACAAGCTTCTTTTGAGGAAACTTTGTGAATCAAAGTTGTAGATTTTGCAATGGACTATAACTTTCATGTTTTTAGTTTTGTTTGAATCCAAATGTATCTTGATGGAAAAATGGGACAAAGTTAGGAAAAAATTAGGGATTTTCATAACTTAGAAAATTTCTAAGTTATGAAAATTCTTCATTTTAAACCCTAATTTGTAATTCTTGATTTCTTGATGAACAAGTTTCACAATTTGGCATGTTTTGATGAAAAATGAATCTTGACACTTGATTTTGACCAAAAAGTCAAAGTTTGACTTTTCAGTATACAGTCAAATTTGGCTCAGTTGACTGGAAAATTCATCTGTCAATCTTGTGCATTTGGGATCTTTTGAACCTGTTGAACATGTCAAGACAAAGCCATTGAGATCTTGAGTCCATATGTGAGCTTGGTTTGCCATTAGCTAGGTCAAACAGTCAAAAATTGCCTTTGTGCAGTCAAAACCCTAAAAATGACCATTTTGCCCTTTTAGTGATCTGATCAAATTTCTTGTGGATTTGTGATCCAAACTT